GCTGAATCACTGTCTCTGTCTAATGACTCAGTTAGCTTAGTCAAGAACCCCTAAAAGCTCTATCCACTTCTGACACCAATGTATTGATTTAAGCAACCCCAGGGGGTTTACCAATCTTTTAATAAGTAACACAAACGGAAGCGCAGCTTTTACTCCCTATAATGTAATCTAGAGGACAGCAATCTGTTCAAGGTTACGCATTCCAAAAAAATAAAAAGCAGAAAAACACAGAAATGGCGTATGTTTTCATGCACTGGGCTGAGATTCTCATGCTAGTTTTAAAGCAAATAACTGCAGTCTTTGGGCATTGACACAAAATGTTTCAAATGACCAAACTATGCTTCAAAACAATAATTAAACTCTTCTACTGCTGCAGCATATATTGATTAGTTATGAATCAAAACAAAAAAAAAAGCCTATTAAATGGACTCGCTTAATGGAAATAGGACTTTTGTTGTGTCAAAGTGGTATCAAAGTTATATGTGGATCACAATTAGGGCTGAACTATTATTTTTAACCAATATTCCGTTGCAAATAAAATTTTAATTTTCCTTTACACTAAGCCAAGGAATGTAGATTTTTCACTCCAGGGTTTCAGTTATTTCATGACCTTGAAAGCCACCGTTGCAGGACTTTACTGTTACCTTTGCTTCCATAATGCCACTAAACTGCAGAGATCTGCATGTTAGCTGGAATTTTCTTTTTCCTTCTTGTGACAGCAAACCCACTCTAAACATATTACTGCCACCTGAAGGGCTGGAGTGAGAAAACATTAGTCTTAGTGTTAACTGTAAAGGCCAATTTATGCTTCTGACGCAGAGCCTCTGCACACATCAAATCTGTATCTGTGCCTCGCCGCGCACCTCAAAAAAATCCTGACTACGCGTCGGACGGTCGCAAACCCGTGCAGACCTCAAGCAGAAGTGCACAGACAAAAAGCAGCTCTGATTGGTACTCGGTAAAAGCCATTTTTAAAAACCGAGGAACAACTACAATGGCAACTCCATCAACAGAACCCGTTCTTCTTCCATGTCTAGCAACTCTAGATCCATCTCGGTGAGATATTGCAGACGCGCTATTGTTGTTTTGGAAGATAAACACTTCCGCCGCAGCAGTTCTCGTGACCATCCGCCGAAGTTCTCGAATAGGCACCCCCTTGCGCTTTGGGGGGAAACTGCTGTGCGTCCATAGAAATTCCAGACCGACGGCGCAGAAGCATACCAGCAAAACTGGTTTGCGAAGTTAGAGAAGTATAATCTACCCTTGGCAGAATTAAGTGCCTATTTAATTTGAACATTATTTTTGTTAAATTATGATTATATTGCAAATGCAATGAATTGCCTGGCCCTACTTACAATTACCTATTATTTAAGGAATTAAGATCAGGAAGATTTCTGTGTTGTAATATAAGACTGCAAGATGTTTCTGACTGGTAGTGTGCAGCAACAGCTGAAGGAGGGGTTATGCTGCATTATTTTTCAAACGGGGGAAAACCTGTCCTCTGTAATACAAATAGAAGGATTATACGACAAAAATGATAGGAAGGATAGTTTTAAAATCCTTAAAGCCACAGCTGCCTAGCCCTGACACTGGAAGGTATGGCTAATGGTTAGTAAAGAATGAAATATCAAAGTCATCTTCTCAGAATGAATCCCATCCATGTTACGGTTAGTTTCATTTCCTAAATCCTGACATTTCATTCACACTACATTTAAACATCTTAATGTTAGATATTATTCCAAGTCACTTTTATTTCCAGGGTTAACTGAAGCCTGCATTAATAATCAAAGTCACAGTCATCTTACATTTTGTTTGTTTTAATTAAGCCTGCAGAGCATCTTTGAACTCCAATATTTTACTGAGAAACGTGCAGAAATGGGGATCATTATTACGTAATCCTATAGACCAACTCAACATTATCTTTCATTTACTGGGCTGGATGAGGCAACTGTGGTTCATTAAAATTATATCTGGAAAATAACCTCAAATGAAATGCTATATATCTAACGACTGCTGTGTTAGTCTTGGCAGGCCATCAACACAGAGCTTTAAAACCATGGGGGTGGGGGGGTTCAGCCAGTGCACCTGTAGCACACCCCACACTCGCTTACTACTGATGATGTCACCTCTACTGACAGGTGGCAGGCGGAAAGACTAACCCACACCTCCAGCCAGGCCACATAGTGTAACTTATCTAGAAGATCATAAAGGCAGACCAGTTAGTGAGTTCCTATAGTATCCTGGCAACTTAAAAAAAAATTAAAAAGCAAATTAAGTGTCTTTTTTATGCTACATGCACACCTAAAGCAGTAGAGACAGCAGGAGCAGCTGGTTTACATGCAAAGTCAATGGTTGACGCGCATCAAGGCGCAGCAAAACGTCCCACATCGCGTTTTGAAGCAGGGTGTCGTGGGCTTCGGAGCATCTGACACACGGCACACGCTGCAAACGTAGCTGCTGCTGGAACTGGAAAAATTTTACTTTTGCTGCTCGACCTGCCACATCAACCAATCAGAGAAGCTGATCTGGGAGCTGGCAGGGAGAGAGACACATCGCTGCTGATGCAGAGCGCTATGATCATTCCTCTGAAACAGTTTATTAACGACTAAATGAACTTTAAATGACGAAATCTGCCGGCAAAACATGTTCACTTTTATTATCCTGGTGCCAGCAGTTTGTATTACGTACATAAAAATCACCTTCCAGCCGCCAATGCTAACCGCGAAGAGACGACCGGGCCTTAGGCAGCTGTTGAATTGGATTCCTACTGACAGAGCACCGCTGGTATATGGGGGTCTCAGCAGCTCCGACAGAGAAATAATATTTGAAGGCAGGATGGTAATCTGGATGAACTGACTGCACAGATTAAGTTTTCGGGTGGACTTTCTCACTGAAAAACATATTAAAACTACTTTTCACCCAATGATCACAGCAAATATAGCTGTCATTGTTACAGGCAAAGAAAGGATAGGGTAGCTCCGACCAACGCGCACCAGACCCACTTTTTGCACCGCGCAGCTAGACCAGCAAAGATGCTTCAGCCGCGCATCAGAACTAAACAAGTACAAGCATAAAAAAAGAAGCAGCACACGCATTTTTGCAGCTCTTGCTGCTTGCAGTGTGAACGTAGCATTAGTATTGCTGAGGGTAATAAAAATATAGATCTTTGTGTTAGGCGATCCAAGCACCTCAGGAAGCAGAGACAATGATGTCATTTTATTTGGATGGCTGCCATTAGAAAAGAAAGACTGAATTTATAACAGAGCTAAAACTGCAGAGGTTAAGCTGCCATAAGAGAACCTTCATTTGATCGCTCCATGTTTACATCAAAATTAAAGAGTGAGAATATTTGATTGTTCCACATCAACTCACAGTCTTTGCTGTACAATATGAAGCAGCAGAATTTAGTAATAAGAAGAGTAAAAAAAGTTCACCCTACCAACTTATTCGAGTGTTAAAATGCATTTAACATTTGCTGTACGTCTACAGCAAATGATCACCTCAGTTATAAAAAATCTTGGTGATGAACTGATATGGTACTACGGTTATTTTCCTCAGGCCAATATCTCGCTAGTGACATCACATCTTTTTTTTTTTTTTTGATACAATAGAAAAGCCAGAAAGATATGATATGAGAAAAAAATGACATGCCAATTAAAAAAAATTATCAATCATATGGGCTTTCTTAAAAAACAAAACTGGTCCATTATGCAAGGACAGGCCCTGGAGAAAGGAGACTAGGGTGAGATTAGCCATTAGCTGCTGAACACAAACGCTGCACACACGGTGGAGGCTCAAGCGAGTTCCAGCGTTAATCTGCATCGTAATGTTCACAAGCCCAAATGAGGCCAGGACACCCAGCCCTATTGGATTAATACATACAGACCTTCTTAAACAGAGATTACAGGTTCTAATGAAGCACATTTACCCAAATCACTGTCAAACTGCTGGGTGATACGATACTGACAAGAAGAACCTTTCTATTCTAAACATGCTGGCTAGAGGCCTATTTTTCTACCCATAATAACCATTTTATCGAGTCCTACTGCTTTTGATACTACGCAGTACTCCTCTACTTACACTCCTCTTTGTAGCTGAGGGTTTCCATGACTAGTTAAGCTGAATTGTGATCCAAATACTTAACAATACAAATCCAATTATTGAAATGTATTTCCGCTTATTGGATTTTTTTTTTTTTTCTAATTCAGAATCATTTCATTTCTATCCGAGAACAGTTTATGTCCATCTTCTACTATAAAATATGACACCTTATGACCACTGGAGTAACCACAGTATCTGGTTGACATATTTTGCCCTTTCTAACAGTTATTCAATTCTTTGGCTGTCCAAGCAGGTGAGAAACATCCTTCAGAACCAACAGATCGACAGTAGAAGCAGCAGCAGACGCCTACGTTTCATACCCAAGGTTTTTGAATATCATATGACTGAAGACTACAGAATATTGACATGGTAAGGGGTGAAAGGTGCGACTTAAAATATAATACTGACAAATACTGTATCCAAGCAATTCTTTGGGTGTTGTGATGTTGCAATTAAGGCTTTGATTCAACACACCATGTGGCTCTACGACTCGTCAAGAGGTTGCGAATTAAACCTAAATATAAAAATTCCAGAGATAGGTGGCTTACTCACTTCCTATAACCTTCTCCTTAAAAAAATTGTAAATGCGAAAAAGTAGTAAAAGATTTAAAAAAAAAAAGAGCAGTGCTGTCTTGCTGTTGTAATTTCAAACATAGAAATGGATGTCAAATCTAAAAAAAGGTTAGTATGTCTATTTTGATAAATATAAGGCCACTACCTTTGTAGGGATAAGGTGAAAAAAAGGTGTGGTCTGACCTACTGAAAGTTAGCATATGTTAAGGCACGACTTCAGACAAGTATATAAAAAAAATGGGTGTGACCATTAATGCAGGATTTAGCAGCAGATTACCATGTGTTAAATCTGGAGGTGAAATTAATTCAGACAAAAGCAGCCATACCTGCAGCTTCGAGTAACGCTTCAAGTCGAGCTTGTGTCTCTGGATCTACGGTCCTCAAATCGACTCCGTCTGTGGCACTGGACAAAAGCAGCTCTGAGGCCGTCTTCATAATGGGGTTGTCCAGGTCCTCCTGGTCCAAAATGAACGACTCCACCTAAGAGAGATTGGAAAAGGCGGGTGATTAATTCACTTTTTTTTTACTGCTTTTTACTGCTTTCATGTTAGCTTCTAAGGACATCCTGAATCCAACTTAGCAGGTACTCGTTTAAAAGGCAAACATCAGCAAGTGACTGAAAAATACAATAAATCAGCAAGGGAAATAAAGTAAATCAAAGTTTGACTTTACTGAAAACTATTGTTTACATTCTACTGTATAAAAGTAGTCCCTAAACCATCCACTAAAGTGTACCATCTATAAAAAGACCAGGCATGTGGCTCTTGTTTATTTACAGTTTATCTGAACAGGAGAAACAAAAAAGAAACAGAAAAGAGCACGGGAACAAAAGTCAAAGCAAAGGGAGTTTTATAAAAATTGGGAATAATAATCTGCACACATTGAGCTTCAGCTGAGAGTCAGCTGCCCAAATTCATACCTAAACTTTGGCACACTTTGTCAAGCTTTGCACTCTAGTTTATCCATGCACAGAAAACATCTAGTGATTAGCGTTCTAGAAATTATCTTCCAGTGGGGTTAGCTTATTATATTTTTGATTAATTGTAACTAAAACCAGATTTAAATGAGTGAATAAACAGTTTCCAATTGGTCTGGTTCATTAATCCTCAAAGATTTTAAAAATCATGATCAGCTTAGAAAGATGAGCAAATTAGTGAGGCAGGTATAAGCACCTTGTCTCAGAATAATTACTAAATATTTTAAATCATACAGAACTGCAATATAACCGATGAAGTATTCCTATGAAGCTAAATTATAAGTCAACTAACGGAAGAAAAAAAAATTAGGAGGACAATAATTGCTTTGTAAGTCCACTAAAACTAAGACAGGCTTCGTTCTTTGAGCCAATATGAGAAGTGAATCCACATTCAGTGTTAAGGAGACATTCAGTTGTGTTATAAAGCACATCAGAGCATGGGAGATGTAGTTCTGATAGGCCTTTATGATAAACAATGGATATCAGTCTCTCCCTTTTGAATGAACTACAGCTCCCAGAGAGTTGGTATCCAGAGAGCTGGAAAGGCCTAGAATGGCATCTGCTTAATCCTGGGGCTCAGATTTTAGCCACTGCCCAGAGCAGCAAGCTTCCCACTGGAGCAAAACACAAAAACAAATGTCCAATTTCTGCTCCTAATACAGAGCAAGTCAGTAAACATGGCAGAGAGGCCATGCATTTGCAACTTGATTCAACTGTCTGAATTAGGGGTGAGTGATAAAACTGATATTGTGTCTTTCCCCAATTACAATGCAGATACTAAGGCAGAAAAAAAAAAAAAAACACCATATCATATTGACAACGGTGTCAGCCGATATCCTTACTCGGCTGCCATGACTTTAGGATTTCAGACAGATAATCCTTGGGTCAAATGTTTGTAAAGTATAACAGAGGCACCTCAACAGGAACAACGTCCAAGGGTCAGTGGTGTCAAATCTCCTCACATCGCACAACAATCCACCTCTAAGCTTTGAATAGTAAACTTTGCATAGAAGTACAACAGATATCATAATAATGAGAACTTTACAGGTGAAGTAATTTAACTTTAAGCAATCCAATTGTGAGTATACATTTGTTAAATACAATCACATTTAAGTTCATGTTCTCAATAAATAAGTGATGTTATAAAATGTTGCATGCCAATTGTAGAATTTCATCTTAATGCCAAATGTCTTCCATAATCGGATTGTTTTTGTCTAGTTTATATATAGAAGAAAAATAGACCAGACATGTACATCTGGCGTCATAATAAACACACAGATGCAATCACACCTGCCTGCGTGAAAAGACGTGGAAAGTTGGACACATGAAAAACAGTATCCAAGATGTTCTAATGTGTGGCGCCACTGTTTGGTGGTCAGATTAGATTTGTAAAGACAGCTCTGCTTATTCATCAGAACCAAATGTGGGCCACTGGAGTTGTTCGGTTTCAACGTGATCATCTAAACGTGTTGGAAAAGTTCGCAGAGGTTAAGATCCCGGTTGATTTACATGATTTAGAAAGTGACGTAATTGCACCACAACTACGAAATGGCTGGCATTTAGCTGGCCCTGTGCGTCCGAGACGTGCTGGACATCTAGCATACGCTGTGGCTGGAAGGCTGCTGAGGGAATGCAAACTTGTGATGGGTGTTGCGAGACGACAGCACCGAACGAGGCCGTCGTCGCTTCCACCCGAACTAGGCCGTGGCCGCAGCCTGCGCTGCATAAATAAAACATTTCAGCCTGTTGGCATGAATAACTGCCCCAGTATTAGCAAAAACGGCGAACACCAAGCTGTTCGTAAACGTATAAGCTGTAGAGAGACACAATATCACCACTTTATTTGTTAGGTTATGTTATTTAAGCGGCCTGGGAGGGGGTGGTTGCCAACGGTTAAGCTTAAGCTAACTAGCTTAGCGTTGCTACCTCGGAAACCTCGTCTTCGTCGCTGCCGGATCCCGGACCCGAGGAGAGGACGGCCGCGGCCGCTAGTTTGAAATCCAGTCTTTCTGCGGCCGCTCCGCCAGGTTCGCCGTACAAACGCACTTTCTTCCCACTTACACCAATCCCAATGCTTCCAAGTCCGACTCCTGGTGTCGCTCCTACCCCCATCCCTGCCACTGGGGAGCGAGGAGTCACCGAGTCAATCTCGTCCTCGAAGCCGTCCGTCAGCATTGCCGTCCCGGCTACTGCATCCTGCATACTTATGTTCACCAAACGCGTGTTAACGGGCTAGTAGTTAACTTAAACGTCCGTCCAGGCGCTTTCTTGGAAGATATTTGCTTGATTTTACTTCAGGGAATCCAGAAACTCTCCCGAAGCGAGGGTTGAGGAGGTTCTCTTTCCCCCAGCCATTAACTTTCTAACAACCTAACCCGATACGCACTGTTTCTCAGAAAGACCGCCTCTGTGGAGGATCCTCTTAAGCTTATTGGCTGAGCAAGATGGACTTTTGCATCTTATTGGCCCACATTTCTGCTTGTCAAATATGAGACCGCAACGTCATGTTAGGTTTACCAATATCACGAGGCTGCTGAGGGAACATGACATGGTAGGCCAACTAAACTAGTTACTAGTTTTATTAGTTTACTCTAATTCACTTGGGAAATCTGCACATTTGGAAGAAAAATCAATAATTATACTACTTTGTACATTTTGATTAAGTTTGATTTTTATGTTACATAACGACTTTATTTTTTTTATTTCAAAGTAATATTATTGATATGAAAATATATGTTTAAAATCAGAATGTTTCCTTTATTTGGGGACTTTCTGGCAGTTTTGCAAGGCTTTTGTTGCAAAAAAAAAATTAAAATAAA